GTGCTCCTGCAGCTTCCCCTGGGCCCACGAGATGGCTGCTCTTCTCGGCGCCCCCTCCCCTGGCAGGGGCCGAGGACACTGCTGCTGCGTAAAAGTCTCCAGGATGGCTTTGGCTTCACCCTGCGTCACTTCATCGTGTACCCACCCGAGTCAGCTGTGCACTGCAGCCTGAAGGTACGTCCGGCTGGCCAGTGCCTGGCCACTCTGCGGGGAGGGAGGGGACGGGGGTGGTGGTGGTGGTGGTGATGGTGGTGCGGGAGCTTGCCTGCCAGAGGAGTCCCTCGAGGGGTCCAGCCTGACTCCCTTCCGAACTGTGTAAGAGGAGAGCTGTAAGGACGCAGTGCCCACTGTGCCTAGGACTCCTGCTCTGTGACTGTGGACAAACTCCCTAACTTCTGGAATGGGTCTTGTCAAGGGGATGTAGAGGTGAGAAGTCAGTACATGCAGAGCTGCATGCGCGTGTGCAACACACACACAGACACACACACAAACACACAGACAGACAGACAGACAGACACACACAGAGACACACACACAGACACAGACAGACACACACACACACACACACACACACAGAGTCTCTAGAAAGGGAATGATCATTTTGGGTAAGGGGCTCCTTGTTCACTTGTCCACTGGATCTTGACCTGGATCAGCTCTTTCCATGCCCTGGCCGAGGGGTCAGGGACACCCCCCCCCCACTTATTTCCTGGAAAGAGTCCTGGGGGAGGGGTCCAATGGCCCCCGGCTCCTAATCCTAACTCAATCCTGTGTTGTGGATTTGGTCATTGTGGATTTAGCGCCATCTCACCCCTCTGTGACTGAGTTTCTCCTGAGGGTTACTATTGCCTTGACCCCTAAGAGCTTTCCAGCCCTAATTCAGATGCCTGAGGCTCTCTGAATCATAGATCCAGAACTTCTCAGGCCAGTACAAGGCCAGCAGCTGGAGAGAGGGTCCCTGAAAGCAAAGAGTGTGGAAGACAGGCAGGTAGCCAGGCAGCAACCGGGTTCCCAACCTCCCTTCCTGCAGAGGAGACAGATTTCTATTAAAGTTATGAACCCCTCTCTCTCCTGCCCCCAAGGCTGGATCAGCCTGCACAACTGTTGGGGGATTATCGCTTGGGTACCTTGACCCCACCTGCCACACACCAAAGCATTAGGTTTCTCTGTATGTCTCTGCACCTGTGTGTGCCTATGTGTATCGTGTGTGTGTGTGTGTGTGTGTGTGTGTGTGTGTGTGTGTGTGTGTGGTGTCTGTAGGTTTGTGGTGTGTGTACATGTCTGTCACATGCTTTACGGCTTTCACATGTGTATGAATCTTTGACACCAGGACCATCACTGTCATTGGCTGTGACTATGCCTAAGCGTCAGGTGACCAAGGGCACCAGCCCCGTCTCTCCTGGAAACCCTCCTCCTTCCTTTCCTCCTTTCTAGCTCCTGCCACCTTCTCTCAGGACACTGTGGAGAAGTGGCAGTGACAGAGACCGTGGTCTAGCCTGGTGGGCTCTCTTTCTCATGGGCCACTGGCCAACTCTGGGGCAAGACAAGCCAGGATCGCTCCCTCCCTTTCTAGAACCTGCCCCAGCCTGAGAGAAGCTCTCCTCCTGAGGCAGTAGGAGGCTAGAGTGCTCTGCCTGGGAGCCTGCAGTGAGCTTAGCTGTCTAAATGCATCTGTCTGCCTCTGCCACCCGCTGCCCATGCTGTCAGCTCACATCAGTGGGCATGCACCTCCCACGGGGAACTGGGCAGAGGCCGGGGCTCCAAGAGCACTCCGCAACTTTCCTGGCCCACCTTAACCTGACTGGGCCACCAGTGAGTCCTGAGTTTGGGTCCTAGTCCTGCTGCTGAATGGGGGGTGCGGGTGGGGAGAGGGAGGACACAGCAGTGTGACCCTTAAGGTCCTGTCAACTCTGAGATGTTATAGTTGCTGGCTCGGCCTGTCTCTGTCCTTCTTCTGGTTCTTCTCCAGTGCCAATGCCTTCCCCAAGATGGACCCCGGCCCTCCCAGCAGCTCTCCCTCACCCCTGTGGGTAGCTGCAAGAATCCTGCTCCTTGCCTGACACCCACTTCTGCTTATCAGAGAACCTTTCCTGCCCCCCTCTTCTTCCTTTGCAGACCAGAATGCTATAGTCTGACTTCTGCGACTTGCTGGTGTTGGCTCAGCACATGCAGCCCCAAGTGTGCACCCCTCCCCCTGCTAATCGGACCTCCCAGCCCAGTCTCTGAGCGAGATAGCCCTGTTTACACTTTCAGGCTACTTATCTTTGTCCTCCTGGCTCCTCTGCCTGTGTGATGGGGACCTCCTCCCCTGGGCTGCAGCCTCCCTAGGGGAAGAGGGCATGGATCCCTGGTAGAATGGATGTTCTTGGAAGCCTGGGATGCTAGTGTGGTGGGATTGACAGGTCTGCGAATTGACAGGTGGATGTATTACTGGGAGACTTGCTCGGACCCGGGACTGCTCTGACAACTCTCCCATCTCCTTGCTGTTGGCCCGTTGGAAGGAGACAAGGGTTGGAGGGGGGATGGCTCGGCAGGGTTGCTCGGGTGCAGCATGCTGCTGATGCTGCCGGGGCTGCACAGGTGCCACACCCATCTCTCTGTTCCCTGCAGGAGGAAGAGAATGGAGGCCGAGGCCGAGGAGGAGGAGGAGGAGGTAAAGGGGGTGGAGCTGGGGTGGGGCCGGGCTTCAGTCTCTCCGGCACCCAGTGGGCCCCACCCTCTGCTTGTCCCTGTCTGGTCTTTCTCCTCTCTGTTCCTGGCTAAGCTGGCTCCAGGCATCTCCTCCTCATTCTGTTCTCCCTCCCCGTTTTTTTCCCTCTCACGGTGGGTGTCGTCCTATGGGCCTGTCGCTCCCACAGCCATCTGATGCTAAGTACTCTGGGTGACAGATCCCCATCTGGTCCACCCCTCCCACTACTTTCTCCCAGAAAAAAGTCTAGGCTAAGGCAACGGGGCCTGTGGATCAGGGTTGGGGCATACTGAGCATGGGTTCATCTTGTGGGTGGACAGTGGACAGTGAGGTCCCGGAAGGAATAGTGGGGCCCTAAGGTGTGTCTTAGAAGTGAGCCTAACTCACCTGATTGTCACCTTTGCTGTCTTTTTGTTTGTTTGTTTTCGAGACAGGGTTTCTCTGTGCAGCCTTGGCTGTCCTGGAACTCACCCTGTAGACCAGGCAGGCCTCAACTCAGAGAGTTCCTGATTGTTGGGATTAAAAGGGTGTGCCACCACAGCCCGGCCTACCTTTGCTATCTTAAGGGTCCTTTGCTGGCTCTCAAGCTCCCCAAGTATTTAAAGTTGAACTCCCCAAATAGGCAGCTTTCCTGCCTCTGTCTGTGGGCAGCCATGGGGACATGATTCTCCTGGGTTCTCGTGCCACTGTCCCAGCACAGGCTCCAGTGGGGGAGTCTTGTTGGCAAGTGATGGAGTTAGTATCATCCTGTGCCCATCCCAGGACTCTCAGGCTTCTGCCTGGAGCCCCTGACCCTGGAGAAGGAAGAAGGGCAGGAGACATATTGGGTATCTCTCTGGTCCTGTGTTACGTCATCTCTCATACATGTGAGGTCTCCCACAGCTTGCATCTTCAAGACTTGATAGGTGCATTTAAAAAAAATATTTTACCTTTGGGTGTATGTATGTTTCTGCACCATGTGTGTGCAGGAGCCTGAGTATGTTAGAAGAGGTCATCAGATTCCCTGGAACTAGAGTTACAGGCAGTTGTAAGCTGCCACGTGGGTGCTGGGAACCAAACCCAGGCCCTGTGCAAGAGCAGCCAGTGCTCTTAACCTCTCCAGCCCCGATAAGGACTGAACATTATCAGTGTGTGTGCTCGGTTAATGCCAGAGTGTACCATGCCGAGTGTTCAGAGATCAGAGCACGACTTGGTGGAGTTCGCTCCCTCCTTCCACCTTTTGTTTTGTTTTTTGTTTTTTTGTTTTTTTCGAGACAAGGTTTCTCTGTGTAGTTCTGGTGTCTGTCCTGGATCTCGCTGTAGACCAGACTGGCTTCGAACTCACAGAGATCCACTTGCCTCTGCCTCCTGAGTGCTGGGATTATAGGCGTGCGCCCCCACCGCCCGGCTTCTCCTTCCACCTTTATGTGGGTTTCAGGGATTGAATTCAGACCATGCAAACGTCTTTCCCTACTGAACTGTCTTGTGGGCCCCGTAGGGGCCTCCCATACGGCACCCTTCCCTTGTCTTGTTCATTGTATGTGATGTCTGCTTGACGGTGAACTCTGGAAGGGCAAGGCTGTGCGTACACATCCTGTGTAGCCTGGCTTCTAGCACAGGATAGGGACTCAGCTCATGGCTGTGGGCAGCTCTTTATGTGTCCTTGGTGGTGTCCTTCTGTTGTGGGACCTTGTGTGGCTGTGGGCATAGGTCCTGTGGAAGTGCGGGTCATTGCATGCTTGTGTCTGTATGTGATCATCCTCTGAGTGTGTGTCCCCTGTGTGTGTAGCTGTGCATGGGTGTGGCCTTCAGCAGCCACCCCCAGCTAACCTGGCTGATGCCCACCAGGACCCTCCCCTCGGCACCGCCTGGAGCCCATGGACACCATCTTTGTGAAGAATGTGAAGGATGGTGGCCCCGCCCACAGGGCGGGGCTTCGCACAGGTAAGCCTTGCCAGTGGTTTAACACACTCCTCTGGGACTCCCTTTCCTTCTAACTGGGTTGGGGTTCTTGAACGCAGACGCTGAGGAAGTTCCTCTCCTCTCACTGTCGTTCATGCTTGGTACAGGGGTACCGTCCACCCTCTGCTTTGGACTCTCACATGTGGTCCCACTCCTTGTCCCTAGGAGACCGGCTGGTGAAGGTGAATGGGGAGAGCGTCATTGGGAAGACATACTCCCAGGTCATAGGTCTGATCCAGAACAGGTGAGCACTTGACCTTCTTCCTTCCAGGGTAGCATGCAGACTCCCCTCCCCCAGCCTGGGCCCCGCAACTGGATCCCTCTCCCCCAGACTCTGTCACCTCTGGCTTGACTCTCTCCCTGTCTCTGCAGTGATGACACCCTGGAGCTCTCCATCATGCCCAAGGATGAGGACATCCTCCAGCTGGTGAGTCCCTCAGTCTGCATGGAGGGCCTGGGCCCAGCACGGTCCTCTGGGCCCCTGTGGGAGAAAAGAGGAGGAAATTGCCTTTTGTTGCTCAACTGGGGCTTCCAGGCCCATCCCTGGGCTGGGGCTGCTTCTTGCCTCACTCTAGGCTGCTCTGTGCTAGGGAGGCAGGAGGTGCTGGCCTTGGTAGGCCGGATTCCTGCCAGGGTGTCTGAAAGGGTGGCCCAGCGGGCCCTGCCAGCCTGGCATGTTCTTGTCTGCTCCTGTGAGAGATGCCTGCTCCCTGCACCCCCTACCCACTTGGCCTGAGGGAACATGGCTCTGTAGATGGGTCCATACATGCACACACCCAACACTGCCTTTCAACACATCCCACAGTCACAGATACCACTTAGTATAGATCAGGACACTCACCCTTGCGTAGCACTGTATGACTCAGCTCCATAGAAGACACACAGCATTGCAGGCCCAGGCTGACAGGTCCTCTCTCTGTTTCTGTGTCACCATGGTTCACTCTCCAGGCCAGTGTACCACAACGCCTGGGGAGCCCAGAGCAAGATCCCACTCGCACCTCGGTCTCGTCACACAAAGGCTGCACACATCTGGATTCTGTGCTGCTGTGACATAAACACACACTAGCGTGCTATCGCAATGCAGCCCAGAACCGTCACAGCATGCTGCAGCCCCTCTCAGGCGCCTATGCTTAGTGATATCACCCGACCCCAGATTCAGACACATGGGGATAGAAATTCTGAATCCATCATCCCCAGTGCCTCAGCACACCCAGAACATGATAGGGAGGGTGCCACCCAAAAGGCACGTCCCATATGTGTTGTGTAAAGTAAAGCCAAAGACCCGTGCCTGGAGCCTGGAACACTCCCTGTTGCCGAGTGCCCTGCTCTCGGTCTCCTGAATCCTATCCAGATGCCAGCTTGCTTGTTCCTTAGGTCGCTGCCCCTCAGAGGATGGGCTGAGGGCCAAGCCCCCAGAGGCTCGGCGCTGCTGTGCTGGCTCTGGCTGTGGCTCTGTCACTATAATGACAGGGCCACACTTGGCATGATGCCTCCCTGGGAACCTCCATTCCTGACCCTCAGATGTCCCCTTGCTCTTCCTGGAGATGAAAAGGAGAGACGTGGATGGCTCACCCCAAGTCTTAAAGCGCTTGCCTGTATGCCAGACTTGAGGCGAGGCCACTTATGAGAGAGTAGCAGGACATGACCCTGGGGTACTCGGGCTCAGTCCAGCTCTCAGATCCAAGGGGTGGCAAGGGCAGCAGTCTTGAACTCTGCCAGACTCAGAGCCCAAGTGGGCTGCCAGCCCCAGATGTCAACATCTGGGAGCTTCCACTACCCCGCCATCTCCAGCCAGCCTGAGGGTGGGGCCCAGGCATTCCTGTGGTTGGGAGCTAAGGCTGGGAGGCCAATCGGGCGGCGGCAGCTGCTGACGCCACCACCGACCGCGGCGAGTCCCCTCCACACCCATCCTCCCTCCTCCTACCGCCAGGCAGCCGAAAGAGAGCCGGGTGGGGAAGAGGGGAGCTTCAGGGAGGGCTGACTGAGGGGACTGAGGGACCCAAATCAGCAGGGCAGGGGCTGTGGTGAGAGGCAGCAGGGTAGCAGGCACGGGTTGGCGGGATGCTGCCTCCACCACCGTGATGCTGGGAGCCCCGGGAGCCGGCAGGATGGCAGGAGGGGAGAGGTATGTGTTGCTGGCCCAGTATGCCAGGCTGGAGGGGCCGAGTGTGCGGGGGTGTGGTTAGCTGGTCCTTGTCACATGATGTTTGTGTTTGGGGCTGGAGGGGTAGTTGTTTGTGTATTTCATTGTGTGTGCTGTATGTGTGTGTCAGGGTGTGTATTTTGCCATCTCTGTGATGCGGTTGTAGTATGTTGTGTGTCTGGGCTCACCCTCCCCACCGCCCTTTGCTTCTTCATCCTGAGACAGTCCCCCCTCAGCTCAGCTAGCGCTGGGCTGGGCCAGGGACACAAGACTGCTGTCCCTGGGGGGCTGCCTCCTTTTTAGGCTGAGCCTGGGGCGCCAGCTCTGTCCCTCTTCAGCACTGCAGCGTCAGCTTTAGCAGCCCGTGCCAAATTCCAGGCCTAGGGGTGGCCGGAGGTGGCCCAAGGCCCCTTCGCCAGTCCAGCCCCTTCTCTAAGCTGGCTACTGGGGAGCACGAAGTGGTCATGTTCATCCCAAGGCTCAAGCCCTGGGGCCCAGCTCATACCACCCTGTATTAAAGGGGCAGTGGGCTCTTCCAGCCTCTGCCCACCCCCAGGCCACCCCTCCTTGGACACACCCCTTAGCCAGCTTTCTACTGTCTTCTTCCACTTTGACAGATTTCTGCCCCATTTCCCAGTGTACTCCAGGGGCTGTGGGCATCGCTGGGACATAAAGGAACAGTAGGCGGCAGAGGACAGGATGGGGGAGGCCCCTAGCAAACAGATGTTGGAATGTTTGTGGCTAAAGGCTGTCCTTGTTATAAATCTTAGAGAAATCTGGCTATTTCTTGAGAGAGAGAGAGAGAGAGAGAGAGAGAGAGAGAGAGAGAGAGAGAGAGAGAGAGAGGGAGTCTTATTTCTTTGTCCTCCCTCAGGACTCTCCTTGGAGCATATACTCATCCACTCAGGATGCCCCTACTTAAGGATATCTCCCTTCCATTCCCTTCTGAGGACTTTGGCATCCTAGGGTTGTCTCATTTCTGTCCTGAGTCCAGTCTGGTCACGGTTCTGTTCCTCTGTTTCCGGTCAGGCCTACTCCCAGGATGCCTACCTGAAGGGCAACGAGCCGTATTCTGGAGAGGCCCGCAGCATCCCAGAACCACCTCCGCTCTGCTACCCACGGAAGTCCTATGCCCCGCCAACCCGGGCCTCTGCCTGGGCCACTATGGTGCCTGAGCCCATCTCGGCACTGCCCACGGATCCCCGGAGTCCTGCTGCCTGGAGTGACCCAGGGTCCCGTGTCCCATCTGCCACCCGTGCCCAACTGGACAACTCTTTATTGGGGATGAGCCAGCCCCGCCCAAGCCCTGGTGCCTTTGCCCACCACCCTTCAGAGTCCCGGACGCCGCGTGCCTTCCCAGAGCCCGGTAGCCGGGTGCTCCCCAGCAGACTGGAGTGCCAGCAGGCTCTGTCGCACTGGCTGTCAAATCAGATACCCCGCAGGGCGGGGGAGAGACGGTGCCCAGCCATGCCACCCCGGGCCCGCAGTGCCTCCCAGGACCGGTTGGAGGATGTGACTGCCCACCACCCATGGCCCTGCTCCACCTCCCAGGATGCCTTGAGCCAGCTGGGCCAGGAGGGTTGGCACCGAGCTCGCTCAGACGATTACCTGAGCCGGGCTACCCGCTCTGCTGAAGCACTGGGACCCGGAGCGCTGGTGTCACCTCGCCTTGAACGCTGTGGTTGGGCTCCCCAGCGTCCGTCTGCCCGAACCTCTGCTTGCCCTTCTCGGGACCTTCCAGGGTCCCAGGCCCCTCCCCCGTCTGGCCTGCAGGGTCTGGATGACATTGGGTACATCGGATATCGGAGCTATAGCCCATCATTCCAGCGCCGGACTGGTCTCCTGCATGCTCTCTCCTTCCGGGACTCACCTTTTGGGGGACTCCCCACCTTCAACTTGGCCCAATCTCCTGCACCATTCCCACCAGAGGCCTCTGAACCACCTAGAGTCGTCCGGCCAGAACCTAGTACTCGAACCCTGGAGCCTCCCACAGAGGATCACCGTGATGAGGTGGTCCTGAGGCAGAAGCCTCCAACAGGTCGCAAGGTCCAGCTGACCCCTGCAAGGCAGATGAACCTTGGATTTGGTGATGAGTCCCCAGAGCCAGAGACCAGAGGGGAACGCCCAGGCCGGAAGGTGGCCCCTTTGGCCACTACAGAAGACTCCTTGGCTTCCATTCCCTTCATTGGTGAGTGGTGTTACAAGCAGCTGGCTAAGGATCCTAGTCTCTGTCCTTTTGTGTCCCCACTACCTGTCTACTGTGCCATGACTCTGGCTGTGTACCGATAGGGCTCCTCTGGGTTTGCCCATCCTTCAGTCATCCTTTCTTCCATCCTGTCCCACTTATCCATTCTTCCAGCCATCTTTCCAGCCAGTTTTTCCTGCATGCCTTCTGCCTTCCTTCCTTCATCCCTCTCCTCTTCTTTTTGCCTTCCTTTGTTCCTTCATTCCTTCCATCTATTCATCCTTAGCTTTCATTCTTCCTTCCTTCCTCTGTTCTTCCTTTCACCCTTTGTGTCTTTCAGTCTTTGTTTTTTTCCCGCCTGTCCTACATTCCTCCCACAAACATTTACATCAGGCACTGTGCTAGGCTTCTGCTTCCCTGGGGGATGGAGGTCAGACAGAAAGAAATGGGACAGACTCTGGGGATGGGGAAGGGCTCTGTGGCCTAAACGGGTGTGGTCGGCACTGGGAAAACATTGGAAAAACACTTGGTTAAGAAGGATTCAAGGTAGACTGAGGAAGAGTATTCAAAGAGAAAGATGGGACCGTGTAGTACCTGCAGTGGGAGAGGCAGGATGCTCTTCCAGGCCATGTGGTCCTCTCCGGCCCAAGGCCAAGCTTGGATTTCACCCTAAGAACCGAGGAGGCTGTGATGGCTATAGAGTGGGGGAAGCAAGAAGGCAGAGAGGCAGGGGTGATCCCCAGCTCTCTGGCTTGCCTGGAGGGTGGCGCCTTATCTCTATATTGGGGGTGAGAGTGCAGAAAGAACATGAAAAGGGTTAGGGCTGTGAGGGTGGAGGCTGGGCTGGGCTGGGTTAGGGGCTTTGGAGAAAGCCTGGAATGCAAGATGATGATGTTAGGCCTAAGACCTGGGACTGGGTTTGGAGCTGAGCAGCCTGGGAACTGAAGAGGAAGTTTAAATAGGATGATGTGATGCCATCAGCAGCCTGCAGTGGGGATCCAGCTGGGCCACTGTCAGGTGCCCCCATCCAACGGTCTAGTGGGGGGACATAGTGCTTGTCCTCAGAAGCCACCAATCTGGTGGAATACCGTCTGTGTTTTAGGAGCTCGCTCCAAGTGGGGTGGCTCAGTCACACTCCGTGGTGCCCTTGATGCAATGGGAGGCTCAGCCCCTGCTGAGAGGATATACTCCCTGGCCACAGTCTGGTGGGCAAGGCACCCTGGGCAGTGGGCATGTGGCCAGAAATGCCCTCGTGAGGAAGAGTTGAGGGGTTTGCAGCTTGTGTGTGCCCAAAGCCTGATACGACTGGGGTATTCAGGCTGCTTGTGTCCTTCACACCTTCCGTCCTCTACTGGCAGATGAGCCCACCAGCCCCAGCATTGACCTCCAAGCCAAGCATGTCCCTGCCTCTGCGGTGGTCTCCAGTGCCATGAACTCAGCCCCTGTCCTGGGCACAAGCCCATCTTCACCAACTTTCACCTTTGCCCTCAGCCGCCATTACTCACAGGATTGCAGTGAGTATCTCCATCCTGTGTCACCCCCCTCCTCTGCTGCCTGGTCCCTGTGGGTCTTCTGGGGCCCCATGGGAGAGCCCACTCCTGACCCTGACTGGAAGGGAGGGCTCCTAGGGTCGCTCCCAATCTGCTTGCTAATCCTGAGGCCTCGTGTGGGCACCTTTTCAGGCAGCATCAAGGCAGGCCGTCGCTCCTCCTACCTACTGGCCATCACCACAGAGCGCTCCAAGTCCTGTGATGATGGACTCAACACCTTCCGTGATGAGGGCCGAGTGTTCCGGTGAGGCTCTGTCTGTCTGGGGTGGGGTGGCTTCTGCTCTTCTAGGTTTGGGCCATGGGTTTGGGTGGGTGATGAGAATGAGGGCCGTCCACAGCCCTCACCTTGGGTCCTTGCTCCCCAGGCGCCTTCCTAACCGGGTACCCAGCCTACGGATGCTACGGAGTTTTTTCACTGATGGGGTAAGCCAGCAAAGCACATGTGTGCATTTGTTTGTGTGTGTGTGTGTTTGTGTGTGTGTGTGTGTAGAAGGGTGATAGCTCTATATGTCCTTGGTTCCACGTCTGTGATTCCTGTGACCCCTAAAGGAAGTACTCTGGCTCCTGGCCCCTTCCCTGTACCTCATCTTCATGCCACTCACATGACCTGCCTCCCACCTGAGGACTTTGCATTTGTCCTTGAATCTGGAAAGTCTCAAATCACAAAACTGCCTCTCTCTCTCTCTCTCTGTCTCTCTCTCTCTCTCTGTCTCTCTCTCTCTGTCTCTCTCTCTCTCTGTCTCTCTCTCTCTCTCTCTGTCTCTCTCTCTGTCTCTCTCTCTGTCTCTCTCTCTCTCTGTCTCTCTCTCTCTCTCTCTCTCTCTCTCTTCAGTGCTGGGAATGGCACCGAGGGTCAAGCATGGCAGGCGAGAGCCCTGGCTCTGAGCAGTGTCTTCTATTCTTCATTGATTATTTGTTTTGAGTCAGGGTCTTAACTTTATAGCTGTTGCTGGCCTCGCTCTGTAACCCAGGCTGGCTTTGAACTCAGAGATCCACCAGCTTCTGTCTCTCCAGTGCTGGGATTAAAGGCACGTGCCATCATGACCAGCTTCCAACTCTTAATCCCTCCCACCCCCAATTTATTTATTCATTCATTCATTCATTTATGTATGTATGTATGTATGTATTTATTTATTTATTTATTTATTTATTTAGTGTGTGGTGTGTGTGTGTGTGTGTGTGTGTGCAGCTGAGCACAGGTGCCTGAGGAGACCAGAGGCATGGGAGCCTCCTGGAGCTGGACCTGTAGATGTTCGTTAGCCCTACAATATGGGTCTTTCCAGATTCTTTTTCTTAATTTTCTTTTAGATTTGTTGATTTTATTTCATGTGTATGCGTGTTTTGCCTGTGTGTGTCTGTGCACTGTGCTCATGACTATTGCTGTGGAGGTCAGAAGAAGGCATTGCTCCCCAGGATCTGG